CTAACAACTAACCATACTAATTTTTTTCAAAACAAACTATGGTTAAAAAAAATAGTTAAAAACTAGATGAGTTCATAAACAATCACTCCCTAATGCAACCATATACAACATTGTCATTTGTCACTCTTATTGTTATAAATCGATTTTCGAATGGAATTTTAGATGTGAAAATCTTAACAGAAAAAAAAAAATTGAGAGATGATCAATTTCATGTTACATAATTTTTTAAATATTTTTTCAATATAGATGTAGAGATTATTGAGTTAAGTTTTTTTTTTTTATTTTTTATTTTTATTATTTTTTTATGTTTAGTAATCATGTACACCATTTTGTAGCGATTCAGAGTAGTTAACCATCAACAATGAATTGAGTCTAGTCTGGCCTACGTGCATGTAAATATACTCAAGTTTTAGATGACATGGATAAAACTAATAAAATTAACAAAATCCACTACAGTGCAAAGAGACTGTATCTCTACTTGGTTCTGAAATAGACTTAAGGGTAACCGAGTCTCTTTTACTGGTTGTCACATCAGTAGGACTCAGTCTACTTCTATTTGCATTTGCATTAAAGAGTATATTTTTTTTAAGACTGAGTCTATTTCTTATGTGATATATAATTTGTTGTGATTGAACTCAAAACATTGTGGATGCTCTAATGAGGTTTGGACTTTAATCTAGATCTAATAACACTTTTAAAATTATAAAATATCAACTTAACTTAGATTTTACATATGTTTTAAAACTTCGTAATTTTTTACCGAGTTGGTTTTGTAGTAATGGATAGCCTAGGTAGGTCTAACGCTTCACAATTTTGTAATAACGGATAGCCTAGGTAGGTCTAACGCTTCACCTATGATCTATAGGTTATGAGTTCGAGTGAATGATGACGAAAAGTAAGAATACTACTAATACTGCTTAAATATACAAATAATAAAAAAAGCATGCCTAGTGTTTGACCACGTTTTGCTGCTTTTCATGTTTTCTTCCTATCAATCTCGTGTTTTGCTGATAGTTTCATCGGCTGCATAAATGAGTAGATTGGATTACTGGATCCGGTTGGTTTTGGTAATTTACTTCATTAGGGTTGGTTTACCTGCCATTTTTTTTTTGAATTTTTCTTTTTAAAATTTCATTTGTTCTATTATAAATTGAGGAATTTGCACGCTACACATTCACAATAAAAAAAGTATTACATAATTACCTCCACTATATAATTATTTATAAATTAACAAATTTGTTAAATTTATTTGCATATATACCTATAAAGTTGATTTCCTATTTATATGGCAACTTCCCCCTCTCTCTCTTTCATCTTCACACGGCAGTCTCTCCCTCTTCAGCACAGAAAACCCTCCACCGTCTGCCTTCACAAGCTCAATATTCGTTCCGACTGATTCATTGGTCTCCGCCGATCTCCCTTCACACAAGTCCGCCACCTCCTCCAATCCCCCTTCCGCCACCGCATCCGCCTCCGCCTCCGCCTTCCTGGGGAGAACATCCACGACGAGGCCCGTCGCCAAGCCTCGTCCCACAGCTTCTCCGCCAAGTACGTCTCCTTCAACGCCGACCCATCCTCCACCAAGTCCTACTCCCTCGACGAGATCGTCTACCGAGCCATCCTCGCGGTAGTCATCTCCAAGTAGGTGATCCGAGAATCGTTCTCCAAGGAGTCGATGAGAGAGAAGAGGAATATCATTTCATCGATCTGTCAAGTTTTTTTGTGGTGTATTTGTGTAACTTTTCTTTAAAAAAAAAATAAAAATCGATCGCACCTCTATTGTTTGTGGCGCGTTGTGGTAGAGTATATGATCAATGCAGTAGAGTATATGTTGAATATATACCTTGAAAGATCGATCGCATTGTGGTATATGTACAATATATGATTAGTATATGTTAAATATATACCATGAAAGATCGATCGCACCTCTATCGTTTGTGTTGTGTTATGGTATATATACAATATATGTATAGTATATGTGAAATATATATTCGACTGTTTTTTTTCTTGAGGGTATATGTTGCGTGAAGTGTTATTGCTGAAAAATCCGATCGACCCCCCTTTTTTTCTTTTTTTTTTCTTTTTTTTTTTT